AGGCAATATTTATTTCTTCTTTTCTAAAATTCACATGTAGTTCAGGACAAATGAGTGTTTGAAAAGCCAGTACATCAGTTTGCAGGGTAAATGATTTGAGGCTGCACCATAGTTGTTGAGTTGAACTCCACTCTGAGTACTACAGGCAGCGTTTTAACTGTTCTCATAAACAAAAAAAAAAAAGAAAAAAAAGAAAGAAAACATAATTTAAGCAAGAAGCAAGGGTCTGTTTTTCTCTTAGCCATGTCTTATTTCTCTAAGTCAAAGCGTTCAGTAAAATAAAGCGAGAACTTGTGACACCGCGACACCATCAGGCTACTCAACGTGCTGTTTCAGGCCTGAATAGAATGATGTTGGGTCGCCGAGACACGTCGGAGGAAAAGCGCAAGGATACTGCTACCAGAGGGCAAAGCAGAAGAGAAAGAGAGAAAGGTCATACAGGCACAGAACAGAGTAAAGCTTTCAGAAAGACATGCTGAAGGACTACATTTATATATACGGTAGATATATTTGAAACACTCAAAGCGGCGACAGTCTGCAAGCAGAAAGACGGAAGATAGAGAAAGTCGGATCGAGCACGAAGAGGAGTACAAAGCGAAGCGAGGTCGGCATGCTTGCAGCACAGAGAAACATTCCAGGAAGCTCAGGACACAGAGWTTACATGTAAAGGCTAGAGCGACAGTGCACTAATCTACAAGCTAAGCTATATAGGACACTTAAGCTAATTACAGGAGCTACACTTACTGTGTACATAAATGCATGTTGATATATAGGACACTGCACATCAAACAAGCTGGATAGGCATGGAATCGCATGCACATGCAAAGGGAAGCAGGTCCAGCAGCAGCAGCAGCAAGAAGAGGACATGTCTGGCTTTCCAAGACAACCACAGTGAGCTGCCTGATGCTGCGTGTGTCACAGGATGCTAATGGAGTTAACTGAGGATTAAATACAGATGTTGGTTTAGAAAAATGGGTAAAACATTAGGCTGCTCCATGTCAAGACAAAGAGCTTCACATTTTCTACAACAAACTGCAAGAAAAAAAAGTAACAGACCCTTGATTTCTGACACATTCAGACCAAAGAGCCAGAAAGATAGCCCAGATCTTTTAAAGACGGCTTTTGCAAAGAGGTTATGAACAATTAACATCTTACCTGTCACACATAGCTGTTTCAACAGTCTCAGCTTGGAGAAATAGTGTTTAACTTTGACTGGATTGATGAGCTAATGGCTGGTCCTAAATGACTTGTTGCCATCCTAAATCAGCTTTATCCTTATATAGTTTCAACACTGTTTTCAAAAACATGTAGGTTGTTGCTAAATGTGCGTTTATGGCTATTCAGGCAGACATGCTGCTGCTGTCACTCTCTGAGTTTGCAAATGACCACAGATATCTTATCTTGGCAGCAAATTCAGTTTTTGAGTTTGTTTTTTAACTTTAAACTAATTTTACATTTATACCTTTACCCCCTAGTTGCTTAAACCGGTGATTTTCTGTTAAAGTTGTTCTACCAATCCCAAAACAGTTAGGGGAAATTTAAAAATACACAGTAAGAAAAAGCTTGGGACTCTAAATAAACAAACAAACAAACAAACAAACAAACAAACAAACAAACAAACAAACAAACAAACAAACAAACA